AGTGGGAGCCACGTTTAGGTTCGACCCTGTGGGACAAAATGAGAAAAATATCTTCCAAATCCCTCTTCTAGAAATGTGCTGCCCTCTGCTGGCTGGATTGTTTAACTGAGTGAAATGGATCAGAGAACATGTTTGATCAGAAGAATCAATAATCAAACAAAATTATCTCTAACAGAGAGATATCTTAAAGAACCAATGAAATAAAGAAATTTTCTGGATTTCTGACCTAAGTGCCGTTCAGCTTCTGGGTTTTTATTTTTCTTTACTTGCCCTGGCCATCATCATTGGTTCCTCTTATTTCGATCTTTTTTTTTTTTTTACAGATGAAGCAGCTCACAGTTGGCTGGAGAACGGACGGAAGTGTTAGAGAAGTGTTAAAACTCGCACTGTGAGGAGAATTTGTTCCATCTCACTTGGATAAAATTAGAAACTGAAGATTTACTGTTTTGCATTTTGATCCAATAAAATGTAGGTTTTGGTGGCAGATTAATTGATCAGTTAGAGTTTAAATGTTTCAGCTTTTCTTTACAACCTGCTAAATGTTTTTATTTCTTGAGTAATGGAGGAATGCCAGTGTTTCTCAATAATTAGATTTTCTGTTTTTATCTGTTTAATTATTAATAATTGGACCAAAACTTAATTTTATTAACATATTTCTAACTCAGACTGTTTTGGGTTCCTGATTTTCAGGTTCCATTAAATGGGATAATAGCTACAAAAAAATATGCAATATAAAAAAAATGTTGATTTTGTCTGATTATTTGGTCCAATTTTCAGATATTGAAAAATTTTAATATTCTGTGTATTTTCTCTGAGAACTACAAACAAGAACAATTTCATGTTGAGAAAATCTGCGAGATAAAAAAAAAACAGAGAGCAAATCAAACGGCAGAACATGAAGAAAATCATTTGACTTCTGAATTTCTGTTACCAGAGTGAAGCGAGAGCCGATCAGCAGCAGCTGCAGAAAAACATTCAGCAGATTCTCCTCAGACTCCATCACTGCCTCCCAAAAACATCCAGCGCCGACGATCAGCACCGATCCGCCCAGAGATCCGGCTCTACGCTCACCGGTTCACCCAGTACCCTTAGATGATGCAACGGCTAAAAGCAGCCGACAGAAACCAGAACCCCCAGCTCAGAGAGGGGGAGGGGCTAACAGACAAATCTGAGGAAGAGGAAGATGAGGAAGATGAGCTGTTTGGTTCTTTCAGTTTTTTCCTCTTAAATGTGATTTTTTTAACCTTTTCACTGATATTCAGAATTAAAATAATAAAATCCATAAACCAAATAAAGATGGAAAGTTTAGTGATCAACTGGCTTTAACTGATTATCTCCAGATTATTGATTATATAGATCAAATGTGTCCAAAGTGGGTCCTGGAGTTCCAGCATCCTGCATGTTTTATTCTCTCCCTGGTTTTACACACCTGCATCAAATGATGGATCATTAGAGGCCAAGGAGAACATTGACATGCTGAGGAGGTTGTTGCTACCACTAGGGAGAGAACTTCATGCAGGATGCCGGGCCTCCAGGACCCACTTAGGACCCCCCTGATTTAGACCACCAGTGTCAAACTCCAGTCCTGCAGCCTTCAGATGTTTCTCTGCTGAACCACCTGAACAGAATCATCAGCTCATTAAGGCTCTGGAGACCTTGATCCACAGCAGGAGGAGGAAATGAAGTGTTTTCACCTGTGGCTCATCTAAAACCTGCAGGACAGCAGAGGACTGGAGTTTGACTCCCTGATTTAGACAAAACTATCAGGAAGTTAAAATCCTTCATCTGATCCAAACTAGAGATCAGGTTCTGCTGTTCAGCTTCCCTGATAATCCAGATTATAATCTCACACAGAAAACCTCAATAATCAGATCCATCAGAGACCTGACCGGTTCTGATCGGTCCAGAGGTTCCTACCAGAACAGTCTGGTACCACAGTGCTGGTTCTGCTGGTAGAATGAGAGGGACCTTCAGTCCCAGATGGTTCTATTCAGTGCATTTCTATAGCACCGAGTCAGAACTAATGTTGCTTCCAGAATCTTTGCTAACAAAACGATCAACGTCCTGAACTTGTTCAGCACTTTCTCAAGTCCAGAGGAGTCCAAAGCTCTTCACAGGCTCATGGTGTTGAGCTACCGGACGGTCGCCACGGCCACCATGGGGCAGTTCTAAAAACTTATTTTCAATCCAATCATGCAGATATTAAAATTTATCCCAGTTATCAATCACAACATAAAGATTCATTAATTATTCAAAATGGATTTAAAATGTTTTTATCTAAGGAAACGGCAGCCTCACTCCTGACCAGCAGGGGGCGACTCCACTTTAACAGGAAGAAACCAGAACCAGGATCAGGACCGATGGGTGATTTGAGAAAACTGAGCAGATGAACTGATGATTATTTTTGATGTTCATAAAAGTAAAAAGTTAAAATCAGGAGAGGGAGAGTGACGAGGTAATGGCAGCATCATGCCGGTTCAGCTGGAAGAAAAGTTTTAATCCTGGATGTTTTCAGTGATCTGGGACTTTCTAGATTAGGATGACCGCCCACTGGCCCCCCTACCGGCCCTCCTGACACCCACCAGCAGGCCAGGTGGCTGAAGCGCCTTGCCCAAGGACACAATGGAACCAGCAGCACAGCAACTGCAGGCGAACTCCTCCCACCGCCGTTGACTTCCTGTCCACTCCAATCGTTCTCACTTCCAGTTCAGACTTTCTCCCATCCACTCAGATCATCTCTGGTAGATTTTCTACCAGCCAATCAGGGAACAGAAAGAGACGATGCTAATGATGGTACAGTTATTTTGCGGTGCTTTACAATCAGGCAGTGAAGGAAGACATTCACTCCGTGTCTGATCGATTCTTCTGTCTTTACAGTGGAAGATGGTGGCTTACAGCGCAGACACCTTCCAGTTAGCTCCTTAGCATCGAGCTACGGGACTACAAACGTCACAATCTAAAACATCAACATGCCTCCAGGAAGTAATTTGTTCTATGCTTTGCTTCATACAAGCGGTCTGGGCTTCCTGTTGAGAAACAGAGTCTGGTTTCTCTAATGAAGACGGATAATCTCGGCAGCCATCTTGTTAGTCGTTCCTTTCACCCTCAGAGCTGCTTGGCCTGTTTCAGGATTCAGCTTTAAATAGGTCCAAAGTGAATAAACGCAGCAGCCAGTTCATGACAGGTCTCTGATTGGAAATAATATTTTATATTATTTTGCTGCAGAGAAACACTTGAACTGTTTCAAACAAACGTTTTCACTGCAGCTTCTGCTGACTTCAGAACAAACTGAGCTAAAAATCCGGCAGCAGAAGAAGAGGAGCAGAATCGCCTTTAAATAAATCATGTTCCTCTACGGGTTGTCATGGAAACAACATCTCCATCTGCAGCAGGCGCAGCATGGGAGTGTGCGTCAGATGGTTGTCAGCAAGATTCACACACACACTGAGTGTGTTGGACAGAGACCAACATTTCAGCCAGAGAAGAAGAAACAAGCTGTTCCCCAGAAAATGAAACTAAAATTAGTTCATATCAGGTTTTTTATGACCAACTGGTGAAAAACAGCTGAAGGTGCCATTACAAACATTTTATCCTGGAACGGTGAACAGCATGAAAAAGCCTAAGTGAATCTGAAATCAATGTTTTCATCTTTGTCATTAGTTCTGTTTTCTAGAGAATCTGAACTAATTCCTGCTTTAAAGCTCCAGGTGAAAACTAGATGTTTGTGTTTCATAATGCTAGATTCCAGATTTCTGAAAAAAACATTTGAATGTCATTGCATAAAACATTTTTTCTTGTTTTTATTTTCTGGTGTCTCCTGTTGACATGCTTCAATGTAAAACATATTTTGATAACTTCTGACGCCCCCAGACTCTGCTGAGTGATTCTGAAGTCTGCAGATGAAACGCTGTAGGTAGAGTTCACTCAGATACAACATGGCATTGATCCAAAAATGGCTGACTTGATGTTGGGTAGGAACCGAGGCTGCAAGACACTTTTGTAGATTTTGCTAAGATACAGATGTTTAACAAATGATCGTCTTTCAAAGAATGGCTTGGGGCTAAATTTTTAAAAGGGGTGCTGTGAAGGAATTAGGCCACACCCACCAAATATTGGACTGCATTCGGTTGGGGGTGGACGACGATCCATGCTAATGAGTTTGGTGCAGGTCAGCTGAAACATGGTAGTTAGAGCCAAACATATGACAATGGCGTTGATGAGAACAGGCGTTTCAGCGTATCTATGTTTTTTCAGAATGTAACAGTACAACTGAAGTACTCAGAAGACACAGCAGATGGCAGCACAACAAGCTGTCCCCTAACAACCATTGAACAAATTACTGTTTCATATTTCAATAAGTGCCGACCACACCCTCCACTGAAAACCCTTGGCAGTTTAAAGAAAGTGAGACCAATTTGTTATCGTCATCTGACAAAAGATCAACTTGATTAGATCAAGGGAGTCCGAGATGCAGCTATCCAATAAAAAATGGTCACTTCCTGTTCGGAGGGGGCGGGGCTTAGATGACGTCATACTATGATGACATTGGATCGTCAGGGATCCCATCATGATCACTCATGCCAAGTTTGGTGCTAATTGACTTTTTTATGTGAAAGCTATGTTTTGTTTGCTTTGGTGAGTAGTCAAGTTCACCGCTGTGCCACGCTCCCTGAACATGTACGAAAAGCCTTTTTTTTATATAACTTTTAAAGCCCTGCCTGCATCTTGACCAAAAATGAAGCAGATAAATCAAAATCCCTAGGAGGAGTTTTTTGAAATTCAAGGTGTAAACGTGAAAAAATGCCAAAATTTTCCCTTTGACTCAAAATGGCGGCCTCCCCATGCATTTTAGGGGGTACCTCAAAGGGACTTTTTTTCTTGATTTGAGGGGATCTCTCGAGTTTCAGACCTCTACGTCCCATCTCACGCTGTGGAGCAGTTTGGCCACGCCCACTTGTGATTTAACTGAAATATGAACATTTCTGGCCCAGAAAAATTTTGGTTAAAGTATGTATTTAATATGTTAAGGCATTCAGAAATTATAAGACATCATGTGATGAAGGCTTTTGCAGCGCTTTCGTTACACAACATGAGAAAAGCATCAATTATTCAGGCTTGAAGGGTTAAACAGATTTTAAAAATGGATAAATGAAGTAAGCCTCAGGATGACACGGTTTCACCTGAGTTAGTCAGTAGAGCTTTAAACAATGCCGCCATCTGCTGGTTGACGTGGAGTATTACACACAAACAAAACTTTCAGAGAGCAGGGAGTCATTTATTGCTGGACGCTCTGCATTGGTGTCCGTAGAGATACACATGCTGCAGCTGGTATCTCTTGTTCTGGGTTTCCATGGGATGCATGACCCAGCTCCGGTCCACTGCCGTGTTGAAGCCCTGATCGCGATGCATCCCGAAACGCAGGTAGTGTTCTGAGAAGTGGTGAGACATCACTTTGAAACCAGTCTGAAACAGGAAAAAGTGGGTTAAAGCCAACCCACCATCTGTCCTTCTTCTCCCCTAGATCTATAAATTATTTAATTTATAAATTATTTAATTTATAGATCTATAAATTAAATTATTTATATTTAATTTATAAATATAAATCATCTACTGAAATGCTAAACTCGTCTTACCTGCATCTCATGAACTGTTGGTTTCTTGCTGCCGTATGTTTGGTTCCAGGTCCGATATAAGGGATGAGTCTTCCTCACCCTGAGAACCAAACATCATCTTCATCAGGATGAAGGTAGCAAGGAGCATTGACTGACTGACCCCAGCTCTAATCGGCACTGTACCCAAAGTACAAGCTGAGCCAACAGGAGAGCAGTCTGCCCTTAACGTGGGCTCACATTAAGGGCAGACGTGAGCCCACATCTGCCCTTAATGTGCCCTATGTAGTAGTAGTACTAGTAGTACTACTACTAGTACTACTATTACTACTGCCTGTGTGAGAAGCCAGTCTCAGGACAGCAGCAGGTTTGGATCATTTAGGATCGGCTGACTGTTATTAATTATTAATTATTTACCTGAAAGTGTTGAAAAATTCAGGGTTGTTGAATCTCTCCGGCAGATCTGGATCGGTGCGGTAAAAGTCACAAGTCTGATTCTTCTGATCCTCCATGTCTGATTGCAGAGAGTTCAGTTAGCAACAACACAGCTGTGACCATGGAGACAGGCCCCGCCCCCTTCTGCTGGGATTTCCTTATAAGGTGGGAAGAATTTCTGTTCGTATCTTCATTCAGAAATTATACAGCAGATGCTAAAAAATATGGGTCAGAACCACCAGAACCTTCAGAACCAAGATGCTTAAAGGCCATCCACCCCGTTTGAGGGTCATCAGACATGGAGAGAGAGATGATGCTACATTTGAAATATACAAAGACTAATGGAATTAAAATGTCCTTTTTAAAAGAAACTATGAATGTTGTGACTTTATGAACCAAAAATGTTACAATAATTCATCAGTTTTCTCCTCTACATTTGTTTAAAAATCATGGTGACAATAAGAACCAAGCAGCTTTCTATTCCATTCCCACAAAAAATTAAGATATTAATTTCATAAATATGCATGAAATTAATGTTGCGACACCACAAAAGCCCAATCTTTATACCAGTATGTTAATATCTTAAGATTTGAAGTTCCTCCTGTGTATTTGTAGCATTTTGTTTTACTCTCCTCAGTTATTTTGTGACTATTCTTTTTCATTTATTCTTTTTTCTGCTCAGTTTATCATATCAAACTGCTGTCATACTACTTTCTTTGAATTTACTATAAAGATGAGAAATTTTTTTTTCTTCCATAAATCTGCCTCTTAACTCAAAACATCACATGTAAAACTAACAAGGAATAATAGGAGCACAGATCAAACACCGTTAGACAGGAAGTACGTCATTATATTAGGGTTGCCATCCGTCCCTTATAATACGGAATCGTCCCGTATTTTACTGTTAAATGTTGTGTTCCATATTGAACCGATACGGGACGCGATTTGTTCTGAATTTCTATAAATGTTGTTGAAGAAGATTTCAAGTTATAATATTTCTTAAGACATAAACTCTTTGGCTCGATCTCCTTCGATCCCAGGTTCTCCCAGCGGGGCGCGTGTAGCCACACAAAAACAACGAGTGACGTCACAGAATTGCAGTTTAATCCAATAGAAGACAACACATAAATTCATTCATTTACCTGAGACAAAGAGGATAGAAAAAAAGGCAAAGACGCGTCGTTGGAGAGTGCTGATGCAAAAAAGCAAAATAAGGCAGCAATCTGATTTGTTACTCCTGTGTACAAACTTTTGTAGTAAAGGCGTGTTTTTCCCCTTTAATATATTCAAATAAGGTGTACCTCTGCTTCACCAACTGGAAGCTGTCATGGACTTTCTTACAAGTTAGAACCTCCTTATAATTTGCTTCCAAGATCAAAAGCCATTTTGTCCCCTTTGTCTAACAAAAGGAGAGCAGAGCTTCTCCTGAACTCCTGCGGTTTTAAGGTCATCTGGGCAAAGAGAAACAGAGAAAGGTATTTCACAGATAGCTGTGAAATCTGGAATCTCCCCCCCTTTTCTCCCTGCTCAGATTCCTCAGGAAGAAACTTAAATTCTGTAATTAGTTCCAGCAAAGGTTATCTCCACAAACCTAACTTTGTTCTTCTGCATTCAGCACCTCAAAAGATTGAATCCTGGTGTAAACCAGAAGTAATACATAAAATCAACAGAACAGAACAGAACGGGGTAAAATTCCTTTTTCTAACCTATCAAATATAATAATCAATCCTGAGTATAAAAATTAACACAGTCATTTTCCAAAACCCTTTCACCATAAACATGAGCAATTTTCTAATACTAAACAAAATATTTTCACTCACACACTTTTCCATTTGATTCCAATATAGTAACAGATAATACAATTTCAAAATACATTCATCACTGACTAAATTAGTAATTCTAAAACTACAATTAAACTATATTCAGTCAGAGCATGCTATTAATAACTAAGAAAAATGTCTTACAAATTAAATGTCAGTGGTTTTAAACATTCTATGTTGTATTCAGTTTTACACCGTCCCAGATGTTAGTTTTGATCAGTACTTGAGTAGTTTACCAAATACTTTTTACACTTTCTGTTTGTGTTTAAGTATGCTACTCTGATTGGAGTACAGTTTTAGGTAACCTAAGCAACCTCTATGAATGAATGATTGTTCTATGGATCACTTAGACAAAAAGCATCGCCATAGAATAATATCCATCACTGCAGCAGACGTTCCACCACGTGAGAGCAGGGCGTCCCTTATTTTGATTTCTGAAAGGTGGCAACCCTACATTATACTCAAGTTCATGTGATCCGGTTTTCCATTGCATACATTTAAGAATGTATTAAATATAATAACAACAACAACAATTGTTATTATTATTACTCATGATTATAAGCAAAAACAAAAAACAACAACAAATAGACCCTGATGACATCCAAGAGTTTTTTTCTGATTCTAGTCTGTCCATTTGTATGCAGGGTGATTAATGGTTCATCAATCAATAATCCAAATAAATTTGGTAAAATAATCCAAAGCTAAGTTTAGTTTAATAAATGTCCTACTGCAAGGCTGCGGTGATGGTGGAGAAAACCTGACCTAAACAAGGTCATAAATAAACTAATTCACATTCACATTTCAGGTTTATACTGTTATCCAAAAAATTAAACATTCATCAATAAAATAATTGCTATATTTCATAAAGCATTTCTCAGTAATCATTCAAATTAATTTAAAGTTAAAGATCAAATTAAAGTGCACTTTCAAGTTGCATCAAAGTTAAATTGACATTAAAGTCAAATATTATTTAAACAAACAACTAATTGCTTTGCTGCGCAAATTCAAATAAGTGAACCAATTCAAGAATCCTATAAACCAGGGGTCCCCAAAGTGGGTCCTGGAGGCATCCTGCATGTTTTATTCTCTCCCTGGTTTAACGCACCTGGATCAAATGATGGATCATTAGAGGCCTAAGAGGAACATTGACCTGCTGAAAAGGTCGTTACTACCAGGGAGAGAATCAAACGTGCAGGATGCCGGGCCTCCAGGACCCACTTTGGGCCCCCCTGCTGTAGGCCCACGATAAATGAAAAAGTAACCAAAAGTACCCTCTACAAAAATGAAAAGTTTTTTTGTTTCTTTTTTAACACTGAGGGTATTTATTCGGCCACAAGATGAACAACAGAAGAATGACCTTTTAATCTACAAGAGAATTTTTTATATCGCTAAAATAGGGATTTTAAATGGGGGTTCTGCCACCACATTTCTGCAAAAAAAAAAAAAAAAGTACATGAAAAAAACAACTCACCGTCGAGCGGTTGCCAGAAAGAACAAAATATAATTGTTCGGTTTTGTTATTTCGGCCCGGTTCAGAAATATTCTTTAACAATTTTAGAAATGCGCCAAACACAAGCAGCTAGCCGCAGAGATAGCAATGGAGGAAGTTCACCTGGCTGCAGCAAACAGGAAGGGGCGGGACGGACCGCCGTCAGTCTCATATCTTATTTGGAAATGGGACCATTGCACTCATGAAATGAAGGGGGCGCTATTTCCTATATTATCCGCGGCCTTCCGTTTTTATTTTCTTTTTAAATCTGTGATATATCTTCATCTTTAAGAAGGATTTTCACTCTCAGCATCTATTTGAACTTCCCTCTCTTTTATTTACTTCAGCGCAGCTCAGTTTTTAACAAATTTTGTAGCTTTCTCTACTTCTAAATCTGCTTAGCCACATCTTTTCGGGCCTGCTACTGCCTCTAGTGGCGTGGGGGTGGTAATACAACTAATATGATTACATTACTAAATCAGAACACCATTAAGTCTTTATTATTTATTATTTACTATTAATTTTGGCATTACTGGCAAAAGATAAAAGATAAATTATTTTATAAAACATTTTTTTATTTTCTATGTAATGTAGAGCTAATTACATGACAAACAATACTTTTATACATTATAAATAATATCTATATATCTCCATCAATTACAGGAGGAACAAAGGAAATAAGGAGATATGAAAAACATGATCAACTATAATAAAAAGACCATTCGCAGTGAATACGTAAGAAATTTAATCGAGCAAAAGTCAATAACAAACAAATGAATTAGGTACAGAAGAATAACAACCCAGGTTGTTACAACCAGGGTTGTTAAACAGATACAAGCAAAAATTCACATTTTTGTTTTTACAATGCCATGTATATTATTCTGAGAGTCTTTTTGTTGGTAGTCTTATATATAGGAAAAAATAAGATTAAATTATTTAATCTATCAACGTGGAAATTTTCCTTCGACTCAAACGATAAATCATATTCATGAATCACATTATCAACAATTTGTGAAGAGAGCAAAACACTTGGCACGCTGAAGGTAAATGTTATTTAGTTTGGTTAAGAATAATTATTGCACCATCAATAAATGTCTAATAAATGTTCTTATTACCAGAGGAACACAGCAACACCTTCATGAGCTCAGAGGTTCAAACTGATGAATAAAGAGGATGGACGCTCTCTGCTGAAATATTCCTGCCATCTTTCATGTTCTTTCAGCAAACAGTTGAGACAGAGATGGTTTTGGTTTCACCACCATTTACCTGCTGTTATACCTGACATTCACAGTATTATAGATTGTCTGTTAGTCTGCAGCTCATGTGACCAAACCAGCCAAGGAGATGAAAAATTAAAACTTTAGTTAAAATGTTGTTTTAACTTGAGTTGAGTTGAAACTCAAGTTAAAATGTTTAGTTTTAACATTTTAATTCAACAACCTCTACCTAACTAGAAGTTGAACACAACCTCAAGTCGGGTAACCCCCAGGTCTTCTTAAAAGGTAGAGTCTCTGAGAACAGTTCTTAAAGACATAGTCAGTGTTTTCAGCAAAGTTGAGCTGACTGTCCAGGAATGACTCGAGGTATTTAAAATTTGCCACAGTTTCAGCAGGTTGGCCATCGAGTGAAACTGGAATCACTTCCAGTTCTTGTTTATATCATTTAATTAGCTCTACTTCCTGAAGAAAATGAAAAGGTATGTTCTTTTGTGGGGGAATTTATCTTTTACTGTTCCAGTAATGCCAGAATTAATAATAAGTAATAAAGACGTTGTGGTATTCTGATTTAGTAATGTAATTAGATTAATTGTGTTACTGCATAAAAATAAAGATAATAACGAACAAATAATAATTAAACTAGAGTCAATGAATCAAAACCAAAACCCAAAACAACCGAAGATCCTAACAGAAAAAGGAGAGTAGAAGACTCTGCCATACAGCAAACACAAGAGTTCAGCTCAGAGTGGACTTTATTTTGAAAGTTGTACATACAGGAAGTTACAAATGGCGTGCTCATAAGACTAATAAAAAAACAATCGGTTAATAACTTGTCAGTTTGATAATTATTAAATCAAAACATTCACATTTCACACTTAATATATTCAATAATCATTGACTAAGGGGCGGAGCCTATGTGCCCCGCCCCCTCTCCATGGGCGTGGTTAATATTTGTGTTGGTGGGGTTCATATTTACAGAAGAAACTGAATGTTTTGAATTCACACCTGCTGTGACGTCAGCACAGCAATGACATCACAGCATGAAAGCTTGCTTCATTTCCTGTTAAAATCACATCCTGTTTTTTCTGGTTTCTCCTCCAGATTCTTCACAAGCAACACATTTCACACAGTTAATCAGAGGTCAATGAAAATCAGTCCTGAAGGCTGACTGGTCAGTCAGAGGCTTCTGTTCATCGTAAGTTAATCATCTGAACACTGATTGGGTGAAATATCCAAAGAGTAATTCTGTCCAATCAGAAGCTGCCACTTCCTGTTGCAAGATGTCCTGACAGGCTGACAGATGAGCTAAACGAGACGACTGGTCTGTGCAAATCCTGCCAGACAAAGAGACAGACATGTTGGAGTGAGACAGACATGTTGGAGTGAGACAGACATGAGACAGGAAGTGACGAGTTTTCTGACCTTCAGGAAACTCGTCACTTCTCGTGGGATCCAAACTGTAAAACCTTCGTTGTTGTTTCATGAAACCATTTAAGCTTCAGGCTCCATATAAAGGAACTCTGCATTTTAAACCGGGTTTACCTTGACAACAGGAACCGGGCCGTTCCTAGAACCAATGCCGGTTTGGACCAGGACAAAGATCTTCCTGGGAAATTAATCATTTAATATGTTTGCTAGCTCCTCTGACTGAGTTGACCTTTAACCTTTGACCTCCAGCATGAAGAACCGTCGCAGGTCACTCGGTACCTTTGGCGCTGCCGTCCAGAAACACCTTGATGTAGGACGTGGGGACGTATCCCTCCTCCTCCAGGTTCCTGCGGACTCTGGTCCAGCCGTCTCCTTTGTCCTCCTCCACCACAGACAGCAGCTCTCCCTCCACCATCGACAGCGTTCCTTCGTTCTGACCTGCAGGACGAGTCAGAACAAACTAGAACCACCAGATGGAGGGCAGGGCCCATCAAAAGCTTCCTGTATGGTTATCTTAGGGTGAAACTCAATCAAATCATGATGGTGATGATAGTGATGATGATGATGATGATGATGGTAATGATGGTGATGATGATGATGATGGTAATGATGGTGATGATGATGATGATGG